GTGCCTGGAAGAAGGAGGCCTTCGACCTCTTCATGGACCACACCTTCTTCCAGATGGATTCGTCCTGCGTCAGTCAGTGAGTAGGAGAGGAAACCCGACCGCGTGTGGGTGACCACTTCTGCAGCTGGTTTAAACATGTAGCCCCAATGAGGGAGAAAAAACACATTAACTCAGGATGCACTGTTGTAGCAGTCTGCCCTTTGTTGAAAGAGTAACAATAAGAACTCAAAGACAGAGATACATTTGAAAGTCAAAGTGTAAATACATTTTACCTAATCCTAAACTTTGGAAAGGCACATGTTATTGTCAGATGTTGTTAATTTGCCCCAATGTTTCTGGACTATTAGTCTAACATCAACATCATTTTCCTCATCTTTCAGCTGGAGAGCCATCATTGACCACTTGATGACTCATGACAAGACCACATTTAGAGACCTCATGAGTAAGCTTTTCTTATTATTTGTAAATAAGGGTAGATATTGCCACTGGGTGTGGTTACACACCATTTACCAGATCCTCTTTTTCTTTGTGACATTTGCACTGCACAGTGTTTTTCCCTTGTCATGTCTCGTTTCAGGCAGAATTAAACCTGCATCCTGAAGAGTATCTTGAGCAAACAAGCTGTACATTTCTACTCCAACTAAGTCTTTAGCCCATGCAGCTGCAGAAATATGCTGATTTGACATAGTTAAAGTTAATTTTATTTAGCCCAGTATCACAAATTTGGCACCCTCTATCCTTAGACCCTGGATTCGGACAAAGAAAAACTCCACCATCAAATAAAAAAAATAATAAAAATGAAAGACTGGCAGAGAGACTAATAATGACTGCGTGTGTTTCCCTTCAGCCCGGGTGGCAGTAGCCCAGAGCAGCTCTCTGAGTCTGTTCACCAACAGAGACGCTGAGCTGGAGCAGAGAGCCATGCTGCTCAAACGCCTGGCTTTCACCATCTACAGCAGTGAAGTGGACCAGTACCAGAAATACTTGCCAGACATACAAGGTAAACAATACACATATATACTGTACATGTACCTGTGTTGTATAGAGATACTGTATGCTGCAACAGTTTCCACCCTCCTACAACAACCAGCATACAAATAAGGCTTAATGAACTGTGCTAAAGGAACATTTTGGTACATTTCAACCTGCTGTATTTCCTGACCTGACCTTAGGAGGCATGATACTAAGTTTGTTTGTGTGTTCAGAGCGTCTGGTGGAGAGCCTGCGTCTGCCTCAGGTGCCCATCCTCCATGCTCAGGTCTTCCTGTTCTTCAGAGTGCTGCTGCTGCGCATGTCACCTCAACACCTCACCTCACTGTGGCCCACCATGATCACTGAGCTGGTGAGAACCAGACCACACTGACTGTACCTTTTTTCCTTCAGTTGTCTACACACATATATTGGCAGAAAAAACCCCCATGTTAATTCTTACACTCTACATCTGTTTCCCTACATCAGGTTCAGGTGTTTCTCCTGATGGAGCAGGAGCTAACAGCAGATGAGGACATATCAAGGTACATCATCTGTTGATATTGCAGCAGTAAGTGAACACCATAAATGACCTTTTCCTGTGATGATGAATCCTCTCCTGTCCACCTGTAGGACGTCAGGGCCGTCTGTGGCTGGGTTGGAGACCACTTATTCTGGTGGGAACGGCTTCTCCACCTCCTACAACAGCCAGCGCTGGCTCAACCTCTATCTGTCTGCCTGCAAGCTCCTGGACCTGGCCTTGGCCCTGCCTCCTGAGAGCCTGCCTCAGTTCCAGATGTCAGTACAGACAAGCCTGAGTCATAATATGCTTTGCACGTAATAGGGTTGGGTTAGGAAACAGACATTTGTTAAAAAGTGGAAATTCTGTATATATACGCCTGTCAGTATTTGAAATGCATGAACACAGCAGGGATCATTTGCAACAAGATTTATTTAAAATATAGACTTTCCCAATTCTCAGTACGTGGAAGTGCATATCGAATTGAATAATAATAACTTTGGATATCACTCCTTTTTAAAGCTCTGGTAACTTGTTAAATAGATCAAAGTTGTGTTATTTCTGAATGAGTCCTGCCTCATTACAGGTACCGCTGGGCCTTCATCCCAGAGGCTTCAGACGATTCAGGACTGGAAGTGAGACGTCAAGGGACACACCAGAGAGAATTTAAACCCTACGTGGTGCGACTGGCCAAGCTGCTGAGGAAACGAGCCAAGGTATCTCATCCTCCCTCTGTCCACACAAGGTTATTAAATGATGGAGACAAATGACTGCCTCTTACAAAGAGTCTCTTCAGGGAAATGCTCAATAAAGGACCTAATTTGTAGCCCATTTCATTCATTCTGCTCCCCCTCCCCACCAGGAGAGTAAATGTGATTTGTTACCCATTTCCCCCTCCCGCAGAAAAACCCAGAGGAGGACTGCTCCACCCGAACCCTGTCCTGGGAGCCAGGTCACCTGATGCTGACCCTCTACGTGATCCGCAGCATGGAGCAGCTGCTGCCCTTCTTCAACCTGCTCAGCCAGGTGTTCAACAGCAAGGCCAGCAGCCGCTCAGGCCCCGCCTACAGCCACAACCCCACAGACGCCTCCTTCCCCGGCCACAAGGAGGGCCACAAACTAGAGAGCCAGAAGGTCTTCTGGAGTCGAGCTCGACAGAACATCGAGGAGATGGTGGAAAAAGACTTTCTAGAGGGTCTTATCAAGACGTGAGAACACAGAAAGGGGAGGGCGGGGAGTTAACACATAACTGATCAACACTAGTGAAAAACCTCAACGAGAACAAGGGAACAAAAACGGGGGAAAATAGTTTGTACATTTTTTTGTATTTATACTGATTATTTTAATTTTCAAAAGCGACTGTATTTAATTTTAATTATTTGTATATACGGAGCAGCTTTGACTGACTTTTAACATTTCATGTGAGTACGTTTGGAGAAAGTGAAGATGCTGTGCCATTCCATATCGATGTGACTTAATAAAGATTTCTAATGGGAGAGTTACCTGCACTCTGTCACTGTCATCATGACCTTTAAACTATATTCTGGCACAGTATATCCTGAGCTGGGATGGTTCAGGGGATAATTGATGGAAATGACCAGTTCCTGTTGTGTTTGTGGGGAATTAAAGGTGATAGATAAATAAATAAATAAATAAATATAACTGTAACTAGGCAGGCAAGTTTAAGTCAGACAGGCTCTTCATAGTGAGAAAAGCACAGGTTACTAATAACATTAACACTGGCTCTGTTATAGTGTCCCAGTCAGTCATGACAGTGAGCCAGCATGCACAATACCAGGTAGCAGCTAAATGGAATTCAGCCATCATTAATATGATCATTACGTGTGTTTTTCCTACAATGTGTCAGAATGTCCTCTGTTAAGTCCTGTTGAGTAGCAGGTTTTGTTGCTATCCGTTTTATTGACCTACATATACAAGTACAACCACTGATGTACTTTCAGTACTACTCCATGTTTAACTACACAGTCCTTTTTACTTTCAGATTTCACATAGAAAGAAAGTGATTGTATTTGAGCTTGTTAATACAATTGTTAAACATTAAATCAGGGGTTTCCAACCTTTTTGCCTGTGACACCTTACAAAAAAGCAATGTCAGATGGTGTCATTTAAACAAAAGTTTGAGGGTGTTTTGTTGTCCTAATTCAAATGACCTGCAGTTTGTGGATTTGTTTTAACTGTATTGCAGACAGTCCCCCTCTATATAACTCACTACAGCTCAACAGCACCACAAATGACTAACTCCAAAATGGTAGAATGTATTGCAGGACTGTAGGTAGGTATACCTAATAAACTAATACACTAATACCTCACTGACACGGCCGTGTTTCTGCACAACTGTACGTTTAGTTTAACAGATGATGCTACTTAATGTCTCTAGAATGTGGATTTTGACCTGTGAATGAATACTTCTACACGGTGGCATCCATACTTTTACTCAAGCAAATGGTCTGATTACTTCTACTACCAGCACACCAGTGAGTACCCGGTGTATGAGTGACACCAAAGGAGAGCACATCAGCACCATGGACAGGGACAAAGACAACCTCCTGGCTGCAGATGTAAAAGAGACCATGTTAACTGAGGCAGCACGCTTCATATGACCTTCATAGTATGGAAGCAGCGTGACGAGAGTCAGGCTTGGCAGTAGAGGAGCTCCATTAACCCCTTCACGTCCTTCACGCATCCACAACCTCCTCCATCCCAGCTCTCGCGATGAAAGAGGCCGGAGCAGGCTTGGTTGGTGATGCTGCGTCACCTGACTCGGAGGAGGGGGCGGGGCGTGGTGACAAATATCAATAAATTAATAATTAAATAAACAGGAGGATGTAAATCCGCTGAGAGCACCGCCATCCAACGAGCCGGGTTGAAGCGCGCATCGCCGGGGCTTGCAGGCTGACGGTGGGCCGCAGAGAGAGGAAGACGTCCAGCAGGGGAGGAGGAGGAGGAAAAAAACCGCCGCACTGGATGGTGGGGGATGATGATGTTGCCAGCCAGGGCCTGATGTTCCCCTGCACGCCCCGCTGATACACAGGGACTGTCGGACTGCTGCTGGTGGGGAGGATTATCCAGGAGGCTGGAGGAAGGGAGACAGGGAGGAGGGGGAGGCAGCAACCAGCATCATCCGGAGAGGCTGGCCGAGAAATAACGCGGAGCAGAGAGAAATTGATCGAAAAGAAAAGGAAAAAGCCAAAATTAAACCCCGGGATAGGATTCTGCAGCCCTGCTTAGCTCATAGACTATCATTCTCAGCGGATACTGGTCTTCAGGGGACAAAGTCAGTCCATGATTGTTCCAGAAACGCATGCAGAGCCAACACTGCTGAGTAGGAACCAGCCAGTTCCAGCGCACTATCCAACTCTACTGCAATCCAATAGAAAGTCACACTACTGTTTCTCTTTCTCTTTCTGTGCTGCTTTCGAGGGCAGCTGGGATTACTGAGGCCGGTCGGTCATTTCGGTGTGGGGGGCGGGGGGGGTAGGACCATATTGGACGCTTGATAGTCGAGGTAGAGCTCCACAGAGAGAAGATGTCGGGTCAGACGCTGACGGACCGCATCGCCGCGGCTCAGTACAGCCTGACGGGATCTGAGGTGTCCCGAGCTGTGTGTAAAGCCACCACACACGAACAGACCCCTCCAAAGAAAAAGCACATGGAATGTGAGTATCTATCTATCTATCTATCTATCTATCTATCTATCTATCTATCTATATCAATAGATCATACTGAATGTGTCCTTTCGACCATCCATCCATCCTCCTCATGCACAACTAGGCCAGGCACCATGATGGTTGCCTCCCCCCCATCCACCCTCCAGTGTGTGTTAACTCCTCAGCCACACTACATGCTCACATGCATATGCACACGCACATACATTATGCTTAAAGCATCTACTGCTTTAATTTAGACTTTCAGTGAACAAACCAAACCTATTACCTAATTACAGCGGGGCTTCTTCCCCCATTGTGCCGGGCAGAGGAGCATCAGCGTAGAAGCAGAGGGAAGCCACAAAGCCTTAAACCAGATACTTAAACCCTGCTGCCTGGAGGCGGCCTGTCTCCCCCATGTTGCTCCAGTGCTGCTGAATTCATAATTGAACAGGTTCAAAGTGGTGTAACTACTAAATACACAGGCCTTTGCCAGGGCTTTTGTCCACTATGGTAGTACAAAAAGGTGTGTAGCACTGCCAGCATATCACTTGACTTCTCTTGACTGGTGCAGTTTGTTGATTTGTTGGCATATTGCTTGGTACAAACAAGGAGGAGAAAAGATGGAGGTAGGGTGCCAATTCAATTTCAGATGCTGACAAGAAATGTCCAGAAGGCCCATAAAGTATTTGGAAAGGACTTGATGCAAACATAAACTGTAGTTGTGCAGCGCACTTGAGAGCATTTTTAAACTGATATACGCAATGTTATATTAAAGGTGCAGTGTGTACATTTAGAGGAGCTATGCGTAGAGAATGAACGTAACAGGAGGTTATAGGTATGTTGTCATTAGTGTATAATCACCTGAACATAAGAAGCATTGTGTTTTTGTTACCTTAGAATAAACCGTTTTTATCAGAGAGAGCGGGTCCTCTTCTATGGAGTCCACCATCTTGAACCGCCATGTTTCTACAGTAGCCCAGAATGGACACTAATGCCGCTAAAATGTATGTATGTATGATGAATGAACACCGATACATAAAGGTGATTCAAATGTGAAAAGAATGATGCACAAACACAAATTATATGACAGTGGACACAAGGAAAGTGATGTTTAGGGGCCTCCATGGTGTCTGGATTCAGCATCCCACCAAATGGTAATGTATGTGGGGTTTAGATTTTCTAATAGCACTTTTGTGTGTGCGTGCATGTCCCTGAATGGTTTAGTCAAAGTCTGGGTTTTATATTGAACCTCTACACGGACCGCACTGACCTTATCACTTCATTTGACATTGATTTATATCTTGTAGGATATATTTCCTTTCAAGGACCTTTGGAAATCAATCAGAAAATCAGGCCAACGTAATGAGTAAGTAGTGAGTACCCTTCAACGTGCCGTCATATGGATCTCTTTGCCGTTGATCTCTGGTTGTTCTGGCGGGGACAAATAATAAAGCAGAACATCCATGTATGGTGAAAAAATATAGAATAGTACTAAACCATAATAATAGAAACTCATATACAATGACACATATCTAAAAGCAGACTCTCCATGGAAAAACAACTACCTGCTCCAGCTCTTACACAAGTGGAATAAATAAGATAATAAACTTTGAGAAACAAGAGGATGGATTTGGATGATAACAGGAAAGTGACACCCACCTTTCACTCAGGGCGCTAGTTCAAAAGGGGAAGGGGACCGTAGAAGAAGAAATGAAGGCAAAGAAACACATACTAAGTTTTCGAAGTCTTCAGTGAGGTAAAACTATATTTGACAGATTTTGGGTAGTTAGATTATATTAAACAACAGTCACTGTACAGATGAATCCAGCATAGTAAGAAGGTGTACTTTATCACTTCTTCCATAGTAACAATATGAAGAAACTCACAGAAGTACAAGAAAGTGCAAGTTGGCAAACTCAAACCCAGTGGGAGAAACCAATCCGCCAGTCAGTTCGTGTCCAGACTAAAAAATCAAACTGAATGATGAACTGCGTTAAATCATAGCACAGTAAAGTGGAAAGCTCGCCCACTTGCCAGAGTTCGTGTCAGCACTTTGTTTTTGTGGTGAGTGCAGAAGACGCTCTGCCCTCCACATATTGTGCTTTCCCACTCACCTACAAACAAAGGAAAAGAGATTTTAACTTCTCACAAGTAGCAGTTCAAATAACATTTATTATTACAGAAAATACTGAATCCTCTGCACAACTGAGTCAATGTTAACAATACCTACTGTTATCCTATATTATCTTGTTTCTTTAATGAACAATTTTCACAATTTGTGCTGCAGAAATGACACTGTATTCCTCTTATTAATGAAATGTTGGATCCATAAACAAAAAGAAACACTCTTGCTCGGTACCTTACAGGAGTTTTTCATTTACATCCTCACCTTGGTCTGGTATGACCAGTAGCTTATGGTGGCTAATGCTAGCTACAGTTAACAAACTTTAGAATAGACAGTTTGTTGACTTATTGTTGACTTCTTTTGTTCAGTTATTTTCATATTACATTCAGGCAAACCGAATAAACATGGGGATGTTGATGATGTTGGCAACTGCCTGAAGAGAATCTTGGGAAATGAAGGCAAACTCAGTGTCCTGTTATCCTTTAATTTGTGAAAAGTATCGCAGACTTGCTATAAACCTAAATGCAGAGATGAAAACTCCAACGTAAAACTATTTATTTAACCTGTTATTTATCTTTTGATTTAAATTACTGTACCATGCATGCAGTAATTGTAAGGATTGCATTTTTGTTTTGCAGTCACATTTTTTTATGCCAAAAAACCAAAACCTTCTTGAATTCATTTAACCAGAAAATCACTTTTAGCAGAGTCTACTTAAATAAACTGCTTTATAAGTATAGGGCTAGGGGAAATATGTGAAAGGTGAATTATGTCATATTGAAGGAGCTGCCTCAGGGATATTGCATGACATTATATCCAGTTTCATCCACAGCTGACATTTACCCAATGTGCTGCTTGGGGGGCACCTAGAAAACATCCAGTTCTTTCATTTTTCTGTGACCACTCAGAAAAATGTGAATCTACACTGTCAGTGAAACCTGTTGCCATAGAACATTGTTAGGATTCTCCACAGCATTACTATCCTGTTTCACATAGAGGAGCTTTGACATCCACCGTCCCCGCCAAGAAAAACACCCTCACTACACTATTAACTGCATCATTCATTACAGCCATCATACTAACCACTGATGTGTGAAATTACTGGTATTATACAGTATCTGTATTGGTACAACTGCTATATAAGTCACCATTTTTCCTTAAAGGATCCACTGACATAATCATCTTCATAATGAGCCTCCTGTTCCACTTCAAAGATATCCCCATTATGTTGTTGTGGTCTGTCACGCATACATGGGTAATTTCAACTGTTTGCTCATATATGAACCACACAGTCACATGAATTTAACATCTTTGGCTGGACATTCTGACTATTATAAAGAAATTTACATATTTTAATTATATTAAGATGCCGGGAAGATATTATTGATTGCCCTCTTACATATTAAATTCTCGTTTTATTACGTGTTTTCTGGATTTGTGGCTGTAAGCTGAAGAGAGCTGCTCCTTACGTTCAGGCTGAAATGTGACAGTAACAGATCAATTAAGATGGTAAAGATACGCCTTATCTCGCTCTCCAAGTGAGCTCCACCAATCGGTTGAGAGCTCCCGTTAAATATTACAGTTGGTCAGTCGGACCATACAACATGCATTAACCTTAGTTTGCCACTAATTACAACATTTCCAAACACTGCAACAAACAAAAGATTTCATTTGTTGTATTATCTTAGTCCTAAACCCAGCGAGGTCGCGACAGATACATGTCCATGGTCTAAAAATAATCTCTTATGGATTGTTCCAATGACAGGCAAATGTGTATTGGTCTGCTGCTCAGCTGATCCAGGTCGAGGGACATCCAGAGAGCAGCAGGGCAGTAAGCTCCTCACGCTGTGACCCCAAAGCCCCACACAGAGAAGAACTGAACAAATCCAAAATCAGAGAGCTTTTAGGCCGAGTTAGGTCCTTCAGCTTCTTGGAGGATCAAAGGCACCATAAATAGATATTAGAAAAGTCTGGGATGCAGGTATAAACAGAGATAATGTTTTTTAAAGTGTATTTTTAGAGCCGTATATCTCTTTTTGTCCCCTAAAAGTAACCTATAACTGCAAAGCAGTTTGAGGCTATTTCCTTAAGGTTGAATATAGTAGACTGTGACTAAGTGGTTTGTGTCCTAAAGCCACAAACCGCTGACTCTATGGACAAGTAAAGGCTAAAAAAAAAGTAATCCCAGTAATAGCTAAATAGTAGATGCCTCTGTAGAAGTTTGGCACGACACATTTGCCATTTATTTTAAGAGCCTGACAGATGACTGCGATACAGATCGGAAGTCCTCTAAACTCTCAGAAGATTAGAGCTCAGGCAGCAGCACAGATTGCCTGACACCCCACATGGCCTGAGTGTGTCTTACAGAAGGATCTCAATGACTTATAGTTGCACTGGCTGTGTGTGTGTGCCTGTATGTTTGCCTTCACACACACACACACACACACAGAGTTGCATATATGCAACATGCCGTTGGCGACATCCCAGAAAAAAAAGGGGGACTTGATTGAGAATCCAATTGAGTGTCTTTGTTTTTTTGGAGAGGAGCAGGGTGGCAGAGTTGCAGCTGTGAGTCAACTGCCTGAATGGGCTGAAGTTTTCAAGGCATTAGGATAATTACTGGGAACAAAGAAGACCGTTGCTAAGAAGATTGGCAGTCTGAATGCTTAACAAGCGTAGTAACCCTTTTGCTGTTTTGTGCCTTAAAGTAAAAGCATTAAATGAAAGGAACCCTGCAGAGTTTTTGGCCACTAAGAGTGCTATGGAGCAATGTTTTCACGAGTGGGTCCCCTGTTTTGTTTGTGTGCATGCATCTTAACATGTTTGCATTTGTGCAGCCAGCGCTTTAGGCATTCGTGCTGCTGATTTCGCACTGTTGCACTGA